TGTGAACCCATTGTTCATAAAGAATCAAATTAATTTAATGATTTAATTATTATTTTTAATAGTAATTTAATAATGACCGTTGATCATAAAACGAACGCTCAAGATCGGTTCACATAGTTTGCGCAAAAAGGTTGGTTTCTATTTGAACCAGCCCCTATATATATATATATATATATATATATATATATATATAATCAAATGCTAGGATCACATAAAGGTTACAAATTAGTGAGAATTGATTAAAAAAATAATTTTTACATGATTTTTATTCATCAAATGCTAGATTTAAAATATTGATTCACATATATTTGTTTAATAATGTCATAGTTATATTTGTTTCACCATGTGAAAAAATTTACTTGTATTTTTTGTTTCACTAAGTGAACTTAAAATAATTTTTACATGATTTTATTCATCAAAAGTTAGAATTTATTATATTGTTTTACATATATTTGTTTCAAAATGTGATAGTTTCACATGTAATGATTTTATCATTTGAATAGTTTTAGGTGTATTTTTTGTTTCACTAAGTGAACAAAAAAACCAGTTTCACATGTAATTTTTTTCCTGAACACAAATGTATGTGAAATAATATTTTAAATCGTAGTTTTTGATAGAAAAAAATCATGTAATTTTTTTTATTTTGGTTCTCACCGGTTTGTTATCTTTTTATAGTTCTCATTTGATAATTGTGCTATATATATTATGTACATAATAATCATATAATATATAAGTTTTTAATTGAAATAAAAAATAACAAAGGATTAAGACACCCTTGATTTAACAGAGCTTATGTTAACAAACTTAGGGCAAATGACCTAATTGTAACAAAACTAAAACCACAATTATGACACTTGTAATTATTTTGTTTGAAGTACCTAATCCATAATTTTTATATAACCATGGGGATGAAATTTGTCATTTACTCTATTTATTATTAACCTGAAAACCCGAATTTATAAATTAAATGATGAGTAAATTATAAATTTCGTCCCTGATTATCAAAAAATTTGTGTTGGATCCCCCAAACAAAATAGTTATATATATATATTATCACTATAGTTCATTTTTGTATGAATTCGGTCCCTTATTCTAACTTCACTAACGGTTGCTTTGTTAAGTCAGGGGTAATCTTGTCCTTTTACTTTTTTTTTCTTTAAAACGCATAAAAAAACAATAAATGTATATACACACACCGACACAACATGGTTCCTTCCCCAAGACTACAATGGCCGGCCATTTCCGTTCCTTCAATGAAGGCCATCTCCGGCCACCACCTTGAAACCATCTCACATCTTACCTGAAAACCTGCCCCGTACCCTTAGGTTCCTTCCCCCACTTCAAACAAACAAGCATCGATGAATTCCCCCTCCCTTACCCTGGTTCATTGTTCCGGTCAAACAACACGGTCTCCCTCCTTTCCCTTACAAAAGGATGGTCACCCTCCTCGCCTTCATCTCCGGTGACTACACCCTTCCCTCAACCTCCAGACGTTTTCCTCCTCCCTCCCCCAATTCATCGTTCCCCTTACCTCGGGTCATCCCTTCTGATCATCCCATCCGGCCACCCTTAACCTGTAAAGCAACATCAACTCCAGTTCTCAGATCCAGAAAACATCGAGTATTCCATATCCATATGCATGATCCAGGTCTAGATCGAGGTTTTTCTATTGTAACAAAGGATTAAAAAGAAAAAAACAAGAAGAACTCAGATTATGGATGGAGACATGGAGTTAACCCTTTCTTGTTCAAATGCCGTTGAAATTCTCCCTCGTCTTTATCACTCATATTCACAAGCCCAACCAGAAGCAAATCTAAAAATTAATCCATTGTTGAACGATTAATGTAAATCTAAAATTTAAATCGTTAACTTTATTAAGAATGTTGCTGTTGCAGGTTGGGAAGACGACGAGGGGCGATGATGTTAATGTAATGGTCAACGATTTTGAATGCGGATATATTATATATAAGATTTTATATTAGATAAGTTATATATATATTTTTTCAAAATAAAATCAAAGAAAATTAAAATTAAAATTAGAATGAGTGAAAAAGACTAAAATTACTACAATATCCCTGAGTTAAAGGAGTCAAGGTTAATAAAGTTAGGGTAATAGACCCAATTTTAATAACTAAGTATATGACAAGGACAAAATCTATAATTTACTCTTAGTTGATATTTTTGTGTTTTATTTTATGAGAAATTGAGAAAGGAATCATGGCTAGTAAAATTTAATAAATTAGCTATTTTTTATAAATTAGTTGTTGATAAATTATTTAGGTGTGGTAAAAGAAATATGGTAAGCTCCTTCAAAATATAAAATAACTTAAAATTAAAATTACTCAACTCTAATATATAAGACTATCTTCAATAAATACATCAAATCTTGCACTACATTGCTAAAAAGATGATTTGTCGTAAAATCGTCATAAAAGTTGGTGGATAAAATGTTGATGGAAATCTCAAATCTATGACGGATTATCCGGGTATTTTCTAAATTATCTGTTGGTATTTTCTTGAAAAAAGAAAATCAGATTTTATCGAAAACACGAAAATTTCAATTAGTAATTTTTATGAGTAAAAATCATTTATTTTTATAATGTTTATATTTTTTTTTTATTTCCGTCAAATCCTCTACAATGAATGCACTCTTTTATATAAGACTATGAATAGTAAACCATGATATAACACTATTCACCAACACAAGATTTTGGTATTAACAAAATGGTCTTTCAATTTTAAGAATTACGTACTTAGA